TCAACATGAACTCACGTATCCTTGAATTTCAGCAAAAACTGTGGCTCCCTGTTTGTCGATAATGGCGTCAATTTCTTCGATAACATCAAAATAAGCTTCATTATTAGTATATTTTACTCCCTGCCGTCGCCAAGGTATATTTGAAAGCTGCCCTGTAGGGAGCGTTTCGGAATGATTTGTTCGACCCGTAACCTAAACACCTTGATGGAGCGAATGAAGTAAGATTCCATAATAGTACAGTTGCTCTGACCTGATTGGCAATGCTTCTGAGGAAATTGGGCGGTTTAATGAGATCTTGAAGGATATTGAGCTCCGTAACTAGGGGGTAGCCATTATCAAGCATTTCGTCAAGCAGCTGAAATAGATGAATACAGAATGGAAAAAAAACTCGAAGAAGACGCACCTCAAAAACCATAACACAGTTCTCTTTGATGGAAGTGTCGGAACATTCATCAAAGTACTGAGAAAAAGTATAAACGACACGATGCAAAAATTCGATGACCATAAGAGGAGGAACTAAAAAAGTGTAAAAACAAATACTGTAACCTAAATTCTTTCAATAAACTCACTTTCTGTGGTGGTCACCGCTAAAAAGTAGACTTGATTGTGGTATACATTTATCAAGTAGTGATGAGGAGTGGACAACACAGGTGAGACATCTTCCGGAGAAGCAGCCTGTAGCAAAATGATCGGATACTGAAAATCTGCTGAAGTAGGATCAGGTGATTAGGTGAGCGATCACTTGTTCTTTTCGAAGAGTTGCAGATCAACAGTCATGAACTTATCACAAAGAAAAACTGAACCTTCTTTTGAGCGTCGAAAAAGTAGTCACATATAGAACGATGAATGACCGATTTCCAGTGTTTCTCCAGAATCACGTCCCTAAAGAAAGGAAAATCATACGTAGGGAGCCATCTTCAATAAACATATATAAACCGCTAAGTTGAGCTTAAGATCCTCCACTCAAAAAGTTCAAACTACCATAAAAAATTCTTCTTACAAAACTTCTGGTAAAAGATCATGATTGTCTGAGCGAGAGGATAAGAGAGTTCTGAGGCGTTTTAACAGCGACCAGCTCAAATTTGTTTTCCTCTTATCGTGAGTAGTAGATATCTGTCGAAAACCCAGAATTCAGCCTATACAGCAAACGGGTATGCAGGATCGGGCTTTCGACCACAGAATGAGGATGAGTTTCTGCATGTACGGTATTGCGTGAACAAAGGTTCAGACTAGGCACAAAGTACTGGTTGCCTGAGGTCTTCTTCTGCGTTCAAGATACAAACTGACAACTATAAGACTCTGAACACAAAAAATATAACTGACCCAGATGTGTTGACAATGAACAAACTATTCAGCATGTCATGAAAACTGCCTGTTGTTCAGTCTGAAACATACAAACATGAAAATAAGAAAGCAACGGAATGCGAATAGTAAATGCTGACTCAAATAAAGTTTGTGATTGGTAGTACACATATTTTTGAACATATCTAAATCAAAATCTCAACTACAAACTGAGAAAAGATATGCTAAATGAAACTGTGCACTAGATCAATAGGTACTCGACTTGTCGTGCTCTACCCCCCATAAGTTGCTCCATTCATACGCCCCCTTTAATTAGTTCCCGTCGGCTTTTCCAATCGGAATGGTGGTGTTTCTCGCATTTTTTGTGCTTTTAAGCACATCATTCCCATCTTATACTTGCATTCATGCTTCGCAATTTTCTAATCTTTGCTCGGGTAATAGTAGGTACTGTCTTATAGGTGGCAAAAGGGTTTTTGTGAGCTGGCACTCTATTCGTTCTATCTGAATTAAATAAATAAATAAATAAATACTATTTCATTTTGCATTGCACATTGAACTTGAATTTTCTTTAACACCTTATTTAGTCATGATCTGCCATATTATCAAATGGAGAGGCTCATACTTGGCTTATCGCGAACTTTGGGCACTTCTTTTCCATTTCCGTACCGATAAGCTCTTGTGGAAACCTTAATTTTTTACTGATAAAGTATGCATTTATGAATCCTGTGGAGTCTCCGACTAATTAGTTGGGCGCTATTTGACTAAATACAACCCACTATAAAAATTCAAAATCATGGATTTCGCTGAAACGCCTAGGGGG